AAAATTCTATTGGGGTCTTTATCTTTGCTGATCATTACGGTCATCAGGAACTTGGAATATCATAATTAATTAAAATTAGCTTTGGAGACCAAGACAAATCACTTTAAAAGAAGTGTACCACAAGAGATTCTTAATTTCCTTAATTTCTTAAAATCTTAAATTCTTTAATTTCCTTAAGATATTAACAATACATTTATTAATTTGTTAATTTCCAAGGAGTTAAAAAATGCTTGAAAAACTTTCAAAACATAAAATATGTGCATTCAAATAAAGAAATTTGACTAGAAAACTTAAAGATTAGATTTTTATCTCTTGCTAGAGGTTTTTATACAAAGTTTCTTGGCACCAGTGGTATTCTTTATGTGGGATCTAGGAAGTCATACATAATAATTTCTAAATCTTGCATCACTGGTAGAAGAATCAGAATAGCTGGGAATCAGGCATGGCTTTTTCATGATCCCAGTGACTTATCAGAATTAAAATTTATATGATAATTAGAAATGTTTTGCTACTCTGGATTTTGTGTGAGGAAGAGCTCCCACTTTATGTAGAGTTTACATGAGGAACTTACTAGAACAGAGGAGCACTCATCAAGTGTCAGACTGCTCTTGTGTGTGTCAGGCGAGCCTATTCAAGTCAGGAGGAGTTCCCATGATAAAGGGATATATGTAATTTTCTCCTTTGGGAGTTAATCTCTCCTAATGAAGGGCTTTATTTTTCTTTTTAATTGGTAGCTGTAGAGGTGATTCTTTCAGCACCTGATTTGAAAACCGACTCCTACATAGGAACGTCTGGTTTTTAGTCATCAAAAAAAGCCTTTGTAATATTAAACTTAAAATTTACATTGTACAAGTAAAAATAGGACCCCAAAGTGATTAACCTGGGCAGCAAGCTGAGTCCTTGTACCTCCGATGTTTTCCATACTGCATTTTAAAATTAATTCCATGGATGTGATGGATACTTCAAAAGTTACTGGAATTCTTGCCATTTAAGAATATTTTTCATAATAGCACTTAAAAATGGAAGGGGTCTAGACCAGAATAATCAACTACTTTTACCAATGCTAGGTCAATTTCTTCAACAATATCTATTAAGCATAGTAGACCTTGAAAATAAAGATAAATAGCACATAGCCCTTTCCTCAAAAGGCTTTTAAAAGAGGTTTTGATTTGATTTTTATATTTAATTTTAAGAGTAGTCTAGAATGAAACCTGAAAGGGGGGAAAAGAAAGGCAAATGATGTTTGTCAATGACTAATACTTAAATAAAGAGCCAGGTTTGGCTACTTAATGTTTTGGTCAAGAAAGTCCCATAAATGCACTGATATTTTAATTTAAAAAAAAAGCTTGATCTCAAAGGCAAAAGTTTGAGATTTTAAAAACTATTATCTCCAAAGAATCAGTTAACTATAAAATTCTCTTTAGAAGAGGCATTATATTAACCCTACCATAATCTTTATTTATGTCTAGATATAAATAGGTGAAATATGGTAATTTTAACTGAGAAAATGAAATATTTCTTTTTAAGCAAAGATTTTCAAAATGTCCAAGGGTAAGTGATCTTTATATTCCTTAATGATTAAAGAAGCATTAAAAAATAATA